TGCTCATAAACCTCAATGTGCCCACCTCCCTGCCCATTACCCTGAAGGCTTGTGACCTTCTGCAGCTCCCCTTCCCAGAAGTTTGGCAACCCATCATCTCTAATCTCACTGTGTTGGAGATGTTTGTCAAAGAGGCTTCAAGAAAGCCAAGGAGCAGGCCACTGGATGGAAGAACTCTGGCAGCCTGAAAGAGTAGAGCACAGGAGGATGGGAGGATAGGAGCTTGACTCCTTGGACCCCTCAGCACAGCCGGGAGACTGCTTTTTTTCTTTTTTCCTCTTTGAACCTCAGGTGCACACCACCGGATGAATCGTAATCCTGGATCCATGACATTTTCCACCACTGGCCCACACGGGGCCCCCTTGTAACTCCAGCTAGTTAGATGGCTTTAACAATGTAGTAAGCCCCCATAATTCACCACCCCAGACAAACGCTGCATCTGACCAGGGGATCCCCTGCCCTCACACCTACATTCCCTCCCCCTGCCGAGGTAGCTGGGCAAGTCTCTTATGTTTAAGAACTCAACAGATACTGATTCTACGTCTTTGCCAGGCCAGGAAATGTGCTAGAAGCCCCCTGGAAAGTAAGCCTCAACCCAAACCCCATGTTTATCATTTCCTTGCTTCCTTATGAAAAAGATTCTGTGTTACATGTAATCTTTTGGGGATTTACTTTTTACCTTAATGTTAAATTACTAATGCCCCATCCATGTGATTCTGTGGTGCCGTGGTTCATTTGTTTTGACTGCAGCATAATATTCCAATGTGTGAATGTGCCAGAGTCAGCTTCTTCAAGGCTGACCAACCAAGATATTTTCCTTAATTCTTTCACTCAACAAATATTAAATACCCACTCTAGGGGCACCTGGGTGGCTCAGTTAGTTAAGCGTCTGACTTCAGCTCAGGTCATGATCTCAGGGTCCTGGGATCGAGCCCTGTGTCAGGCTCCCTGCTCGGCGGGGAATCTGCTTCTCCTTCTCCCTTTGCCCCTCCCCCCCACTCATGCTCCTGCTCTCTCTCTCATGCTCTCTCTCAAATAAATCTTTTTAAAAATAAATAAATACTCACTCTATGCCAGGTATTGTAGGAGACACCAGGGATGCCCTAATTACCAATTAGTCACAGTCTCTGTCATTCTAGCTTGTAGTTTTGATTTAGTTCATTTTCTCTGTTTTTCAGGTGTGGGATGTTTTCTGTATAAGCACTATTCAGTGGGTCGCAATCGAAAACATATTAGCTAAAGGGGTACTGAGGTCACTTCTGTTTACAGATGAGGAATCAAGAAAGTGCAGGCTGTAAGCCTTTTTTGTTGCCTCTGTGTCTCGGCCTCCAGCATAATGCCAGGCCCATCAAAGGCAGTCAATATTTGCTGAATTAATAATAAACAAGAGACTTGCCCTACCTACCTCAACTAATGAGGCACATGACCACGGCAGACTCAGTGAGAAAGAATGAATTGACAGGGAAGGGCCACTCAGTGGATGCTCCTGACACCCCTCCAACCTGCCCCTCCTGCAGCCTTTGCATCTTGGCAAATACCCTCCTACCCGCTCCCTGAAGGCCTAAGAGCATCCAGTCAGCTTATGAGGCCTGCTGCTTTGACCTTCCAAGCACGGGTATCTTTTCCCACCACCAGCCCCCTTCTCCTTCCTCTTGTCCTTGCCGCTCTTTGTTCTGTCTCTCCAACACCAAGCTTGCTCCTTCCCCCCTGGCATTCAGATCTCAGCCCAGGAGCTGTCCCTAACCACCCTGACCCCGTCCCTAGGCCTCTGGCTGTAAGTATCCAGCAGGCACTGGCTCCCATCACCCACTTCACTCTGCATGGCACTCATCGCTCCAGCTTTATCTGCTCACACCTGTCCTCCCCTCCTTCCCCCCACTCCCCACCCATCAGAGGTGAGGGCAGGGCCTGACCTGGCCTGTCTGGGCACCTCTCCCATCCTACTGCACTTATTTCTTATTTGTCTTTGAATCCACAGCTCCTAGAGCAGGGCCTTGTCAAATAGTTCATTGAATACTTAATTACGTAATGCTAACCATACTGGGTATCAGACAATTGGGATCCTTTTCAGCCTTGAACCTGACTGAGTCAGACAAAAGAATTTTGTAAACTCTTACACGATGACTGTGTGTAGATTAAATACTGTTGAGGGGGCGCCTGGGTGGCTCAGTCGTTAAGCGTCTGCCTTCGGCTCAGGTCATGATCTCAGGGTCCTGGGATCGAGCCCCGCATC